TAGGTCGGTGGGTGGAGTCAGGTCCAATACACTTTACTGGACGTGATGACTCACAGGCCCTTAGACTGTCGGAGCGGTGGAGGAGAGGGGACTGGTCTAACAAGTGGGGAGTGAGGATCAGGTTAGTTTATCGTCTCCCTGATATTTTAGCTCTCTAGACATATCAAGCACCTGACCCTCGCAGTGCCGGTGTCCGGGAAGGGGGTGTTGTAGCCCCACTGAATTGTTTCATTTTTTTTCCGGCCAGAGCAGTTAGGTTTTTCAGTACAAACAAGTCACATACATCTGGTCAAGGATAAACTCTTGGCATCAACAACTGCCCAACCTACGTTCATAAGATGCGTTATCGCGTCCGGCTGTACTTTCCCGATGTTGTCGTAACACGGCCAGACCACTTTCCTTTTTCCTTGCTGAGATGTTTCTTCAACTTGCTCCTCGGGGGCGTGTAATCGAGAAGGGGATCCCGTCCAATCGTAGGGCGGTCCCGATGCCAACGTTTCCTCGGTGTAGTACTCCCACTTCCTTAGGGTGGAGATGTTGGCACTCGGCTTTAACGCCTGGAATGGGAATGAACAAAAATATACAAGTGAAACACGAACTGATAGTTCAAAGATTATCAAATGTAATGTAAATCAGCCTGTGATCCCCCCCCCTCAGCTTAATGGGCAGGCACCCCACTTTAAGGCAGATTTCAGTTTTCAGCTAGTGTGTGGCAGCTCCAACTAGAGAAAGATGATTGACATTTGAATGGAGCGATACGTCATCTCTTAGGCCTTATTACCTGTGTCTGGGGTTGTTCTATAAAACATTTATTTTGTCTGATGTGATCCCCGATAGACACCACCGCTCCCCCCATCTTATTCTTTACTTACCTCCAGCTTGCTTGGTGCGTATAAATAGTTGAAGAAAATGGGACTTTTCCTGTGCGCCCGCTCGATATATTCCCAGATACACATGCCTTTCCTCGTGTGTTTGTCTACCTTATCTTCAAACAGAGTGCCTTCAACAAGACAAGAAAGTTCAGCGTTAACATTAATCCGCCTTTCCTGGTTCCCCTCCTTCCCCCCATTAACATAATGAGATTTGTGCAGGGTGACTGGTCTTGTCCCTGCCCCCTCCTGTAATAAAGACCGCTCACTGCTGCTCTCTCTCCTTGTGCAGGGTGACTGGTCTTGTCTCCGCCCCCTCCTGTAATAAATACCGGTCACTGCTTCTCTCTCTCCTTGTGCAGGGGGACTGGTCATGTCTCTGCCCCCTCCTGTATTTACCTGCAAATGAAGCCTGTAGTAGGTGGGGCGCCTATTGCGTCCCTCCCACTGCTCTGCTCTCTCCCCTTGTGCAGGGAGACTGGTTTAGTCTCTGCCCCCTCCTGTAATAAAGACCGCTCACTGCTGCTCTCTCTCCTTGTGCAGGGAGACTGGCCTTGTCTCCGCCCCCTCCTGTAATAAATACAGCTCACTGCTGCGCTCTCTCCTTGTGCAGGGAGACTGGCCTTGTCTCCGCCCCCTCCTGTAATAAAGACCGGTCACTGCTGCTCTCTCTCCTTGTGCAGGGTGACTGGTCTTGTCTCCGCCCCCTCCTGTAGTTTCCTATAGTGCCTGTGGCCTGCTGGGCCCCTCCCACAGCTCTTCTCCCTGCACAGGCTATGTAAGGCACATTGATATCACCATTGCTACTTTACAATGTAATATCGGATGTTTTTATCCTTTGTGGCTATTGAGGAATACATTGCAATAATAGTTTTTGTGCCGGGAGTTCCCTCTGATAAATGGTACATACATACTCATTTTTTCTTCATAGTTGGGAGTATAAACATTTTGCATTCACATAAAGTGGTTTTAATCCCCATGTGTATCCCCGTCACTTCACATTTCCAGTGTAAATAACAATTTAAATCCTGACAGTTCAGAACGACATTCATTATACAATAAAAACAAGAACTCGAGCTGAATTCTGGCCGATTTATAAACATTTCTAATTTTAGAGAACGAGTGTCATTAAGTTTTTGCATACAACGCCTCGCACGGGAATGAAAACGTGTTTCTAACAATTCTATAGAAATACTCAGAGACGTGATGCCAACCGGCTTCAAACTGTTTATTTTACTTTGTACGGCGTTTCCTTCTAGCCCGGTTTTAGCTTTTATTAGGTTATATGGCGACCCGAAAGATCGGGGTTCAGTAACATTCAGCACAGAGATTTTTGTGATTCTGTCACTCTTGATGCCCCCCCCAATTGATTGTTACCTCCATACGTCTGCCCTGATTGGCTGCGTGAGCCCTGAGCTAAAAGTTCTATGCAAGCTCTTGGTCTGTACTGGAGCTTACACAGGGCCAATGACCTTTCCCCCCACATCCAACCTGAGTGTTCTGGCCTGGCAAATGGCTGCCTATACGCCAAGCAAAGCATCATAGCAGGAAGAAGAGATGGTCTCATGCTCCCCCTTACCCAAAAGTAACAGGTACTTCTACAGGCTCTAGCAGGTAGGAAGCAGTGGGGTTAGGGATGGAGGAGG